AAAATAAATTAAAATAATAATTTTTTTATATTTGAATATGAAAAATATGATATGATTTTAAAGTCTTTTTATTTTTATTAATACTTCTTTTATATGTATTATATTCATAAAAGATAAAATATAGTCTTGATATTTCTAAAAAAATTTAAGTTGTTTTAATTTCTTAAAAAATTGTCTTATTTTGATTCTTTTAATTAGGAGATATAGCACTTTTTGTTTCTAAAGCTATTTATTTATATAATATTGTATAATAAATGATAATATAGTGGTAAGTTGAATGAAAAGTATAGTATATCTTTTTGAAATTTGTTAACCAACTGATTATTTGTTTAAGTAATAAAATATGTTATTTTTAATTAAAAATTTAATATATCATTTAAATTATAAAATTTTAGATCAAATTCCAAAATTAGAAAAATTGTAATTTAGTCTTTAATCTTTTTAGATTTTTGTAATTTAGTTTTTAGGATTAGAAATTTGTTTATTACTATTTTTATACGTTCATACATACAAAATCATATTAGTATTTTATGTGTTATCTTTCACGTGTATCAAATTTTAATTTACTCATAATTTTTTTTTAATTTTCTTAATTATCATAAGAAATATAAAATATTAAAAATTAATAAATATGGATTAAAATTTAGTAAACATAGATTATAGCATGAAATAATAATCTAAGATAATTATTTGAATATGAAAATGTAAAATATATTTTTATCAAATTTTACAAATATCTAATTTCAAAGACTAAATTATAAAAATATAAAAAGATTAAAAAAAAAACTCGATTAGAAGAATTGTTTGAAGTTATCCAAGCAAATTTTCAAATATACCTTCTTGAACTCTCTAGCTGTTTTCCTATTCCGTGGGTTTCTTTTTCCCTTTAAAAAACGGTTGGGGATGGCTATTATATAAACACCAAAGGTTTTGAAGCACAGTGTGATACATGTAATGAATATTTTGCAACAAGAGAAAGCAAGCATGGAGAACATAACTGTGGGAAGAAGTGGAAGCTCTAGAAAGGGTAGCTTTAGGTTAGGGTTGGGAGTGGATGGAGCAAAAGATCACACTGTGATTGAGCTTGGCAGTATTACTATTGACACACACAAATTTCTTCTAAGCGGTGGAGAGAGAGAGAAGAAATTACACCCTCTCACAAACTCTCTCTCTCCAAGGCAAATGAAATCCCTATCTGCTCTCTGTGACACTATCTTACCTTCTGTTGACAAATTTGTTGATACATCTGATGAATCTGTCACCAAGTTTTATCAAACTTCAGCTTCCATGGCAGGAACACCTCAACGTGTACGGATAGCTTCCTATAGCCACATACAAATTCTCTTTTATTTATTTTTTTCATTTGAGTTTTCTATATCATATATCCTAAAGCCCTATTTTCTCTCTTCTTGTTTATTTATTTATTTATTTATATAATTAAAGACACCCTCATGAACTCAAAAAATGGAGAATTATATACTGCAAAATTGTTATGTAAATTTACACTATACTTCTCCAATTTTATGCATATAATTTCTTATAAACTGTTTAATATTCAACTGATTGAGTATGAACTTTTATTTTCTCTGTGAGTCACTTTTTTATGTGTTAATTATGTGTTATTTGAGTCATAATTTGGAACGGCAGATAACAACCTTGATACTCAAGAAATGAAATTTTGTGTGTTTTTGGATTAACTTCGTGATGATAAATAATCAATTATTTTTTTTACAGTAAAGACAAAACAATAAATATATATAATTGTTTCTATTTTTTTCATGATATCATTATGATTTTAGATGGTAGAATTGATTATCGAGTATTATCCAAACATACTAGTTAAATTCAATATTGTCCCATTAATTGTGAAATATGTAAATATATATAAAATTTCTCAGCAAAAGAAGGACAGAGATTTAATCTATAGGTATAAAATTAAAATTCTTCCAAGTGTATGTTTAGTTGCTTTGAGTAATTGGGTGGCTAAGTGAGAAAATATAAATGTTTTGTATAGTTTTGGTTGCATGGAATACAGTTTCATATATTAATAAATGTTTAGTTTTATATGTTTTGGTTGGTTTGTGATGTGGTGCAGATTGGGGGTATGATAAGTGAGAAACTGAAACACCCCTTGACAGGGTTAATGAAGTTGGTGTTGTGGCTGTTGTCTACGTGGTTTGGAACATTTATTTTCTGTGGCATGGCCTGTCTCTCAACCAAGTTTCCCTTCATCCATACATATCCTCACTTGCCTATGGACAAACGCCAAGAGATTATGCGATCCTGGTCTCTTAGTTACATTCCTCACTTTAGAATGCTCTTCAGGACCATCAAACTTCTCACTCTCCTTATCTTCTTCACTCAGGTATTAATAATTAACAACCTCTACCTCATATTTCAAACTCTACCAATTTGGACCAGACAATGCTTTTATTAATATTTTTTGCCCTCGTTTCTATTTTAAACAAAGTGCTTTTGGTTGATTTGCATTGCTTCTTATTTCCATTTTTCTGATATATGAATTATTGCTAGTCCAATTAATTTTTTTTATTTTTTTTTATCAATTTGGGTCCATATATATAAATGGGCGGCACTTAATTTACTGTATCTTTATGGCATACTTGCATGCTTTTAAGTTTTGAAACTTTTATTACTAAGACTTTAGTCACACTTCCTATGTACGATTTTATTATACGCAAACAAGTCATACTTACCTTTATATTAGTATTTTTTATAAAAAATAAAAATAAACTACACTAGTTAAGTAATTTTAAAAAACAATGTATATTAATTGGTGGGGTTCTAATAGTTAAGTCTTTACAAAATGCTTTTATTAACATATAAAGCATTTTTTTAACGAAAATTTGCTAGGTTTCTCAAACAACAAATTAATTGTTCTTTCTCAAATAATATAGTGAAAACCATAAATTACTTCTACTTATAAATACTAATTATAAATAAAACTCAAATACTTATACTTACAATTATTTATTATACGTAAATTTTACAAACTCGGTATATAACTCACATAACGGATAGATAAATCATCTGTGAGTAAGTGTAAAATAGATATATTTTAACAAATTTTTAGCTTTTAGTGATAATTTATGAATTTATTTAAATACAAGTTAGAAACATTTTTTAGAGTTTCTTTATTAAAAATAAAAAATATTTTTCATTAAAAAAAATTCTCAAAATCACTTTTAAATTTATATTTAAATAGACTCTATCTGTCAATACAAATCAATTTTCTTATAGATAATCCTAACAAAGAAAATTATATTTACTACACTCTTAATAAATAAATGAAATTTAAACCTATATATAATAACATTATTTTGGAGAGATGTCTCATTTCATCCTCCGAATCCTTCTGCATAGGTACAAATATACAAATATATATATATATATA